GTCGTCGTCGTCGTCGTCGTCGTCGTCGTCGTCGTCGTCCGTCCCCCGTCCCCCCGTCCCCCCNCCCCCCNCCCCCCCTCCCCCCTCCCTCCTCTCTCTCTCTCTCTCTCTCGGCGTCTGCGTATACATGCCTTACCTATGCGGCATCTACTCAAACAGGCGCGCGATCGAGCCGGTAGGATTCATCCTTACATCGGCGACGGCGGCTAGACCAGGGACGGCGGTGAGGCGTCCCCTCAGCCAACAAGCAAGGACTTGCAAGCACTCACATACACACAAAGAGAGGTACAGAGCCAGGGAGACAGGAACCGGACTAGTACATGCTGGCACAGGACGGCCACACTTGCTCTCTCGCTCTAGTGAAAAAAAATAAACAATGAAGACTCGCATCGGATGAAAGTACGGTGAAGGTCTGTGGGCTGCGGGGGGTGCGACGTGTCCCAGGAAGGCAGGGTTGCAACTTGGAAGCGAGAAACCTCACCGATCCTTGTCCCTCAGCCTTTGATCGCCTTGAGTTCTTTTGGCTGGCACTCTGTGTCTGCATGTGTCTGTGCAACCCACTGCAGCACTTGCTGTGTTGTTCAAACATAGCCCGTGGCATAATCTGGTGCTTCATTCGAGTAAATATTGGCTCTTTTCTTTTCTTTCTTTTTCTACTTTGTTGTCACCCTCTCTCTTCACCCCCATTTCGTGCCGACTTGGCCGATTGCAGACCCGGGTAGTCGTATCGCCTGTTCAAGGGGCATGCCCAGCATTCTTCTCGCTCAGCGTGGGAGTCATAAGTGGGGAAGGAGACGGACGGTATGCGTAATCCAGTGTTGCCCATCGACTTTACTTTCTCATTGCGACAGCGACAGGTTCGGACAATCTACGCGAGAAGGCAAGTCCATAAGCAGAAAATGATCACATTGATCGGAGCGGGTGTCGCAGAGATTCTGGAACGCGCCCGCGTGTTCCCAGCAGACACGTCGCTCCTCCCTTGCGAAAGCCGCCTTTATAGTAAGCCGCCGTTATAGTGCACCCGGCAATCTGGTTCGCTTCGATCCTGTCAAGGGCTAAAATTCATCAATGGCCCATCGGAATATTTAGGCTCGAATCGGGAACGCCTCCCCGACTCGTGAGAGTTGAGCGACTCAAGGTGTTTCCAGCGTGCCGAGCCACGGCGACCGACAAATGTGCGACCTATCAATCGCCAGCTCCTGGCCCCCTCCCCCTAGGATGGAAGCGGAAAGGGGAAGGGGATGAAGAAAAAAAGGGGATGGTTAATCCACCCACCACCACCACCATCAAGAGCCTGCCAGCCCCGGGCTAGACTAGACTATCCGCAGGAATGCTACCTTGCAGTGCGGAACGAGGATGCGTGTGTGAGCCTCATGAAACCAAGAGTGACCCCCCTCCGACGCGGCCGTCGCCTCTAGCGGAAAGCAGCCCACCATCAAAGCCTTCAGCCCAGCCTGTGGGCTCTGACAGTCTGGCCAAGGGGACGCCGCCACATAAACTGGACTCCCAGACGTCCTTTTGGTCATGCCGCTCGGCGCTGCAATCATTGCTGTGAGGCACGCCCGTTGGAAAGGGGTCATGGTTTCTATCTATCCGCTGTTGGCTTTCGACACCGCACATCAGGAGCCCGTGAGCTCGCCGTCCGAGCCACCACGGCCACTTCGTTCCCGCTGGGTATCCTGGGGGATATGCCTACTGCCCACTGCCGCTGTCCTGCGCCCTAAGCTTGGACGGGGTTCGTCTCACCGATTCCTGGCGCCACCCTTGATCGCCCGCGTCGAAAATCTCGGTGCTAGGCAATTAATGTTGTAACAAAAAAAAAGAAAAAAAGCTGGCGAGATCTGCTCGTTACAGGTGTCCAGGATCACAAACACTAGTGCGGTGGATCTTGGTGGTACATCAGTTTGGCTTGGTTTTCTAAGGAAGAAAATGTATCTTGCTCCACCGCACTAGTGTTTGTGATCCTGGACACCTATAGCTGGGGCGCGAGTCCCAATCCCGCCTAGACCCCGACCTTGGCGCTGTTGTTGGACTTGCTCCATAGAGGTCGTTTATTGGTGGTCCTGTCCTCGTCTTGCGCCCGGGAAGGGGACATGTTCGTTGCCATGTCCGGAAGGGAGGAAGGGGCCCCGGGAGAGGGCTAGGGCAAGCCTTCTCCAGTAATATCAGAGCAAATTAAACTCGCGCCGGCGTGGTCAAACCCCCAAGTCACTCGCTGCCCCCGGGGGTCGAGCCCGAGCAAAGATCGATCGCTGCCGCATTGCTCGCGACGAAGCAAAGGGGAAAGCGAAAGACAATAAAGAAAATAAAACTAAAAATAAAAAGAGAGAGAACCATATCCGCCGGCCTACTCGACAACGAAGCCCTAACCCCTTTTCCCCTCCCCATCTTGTGCTGGCGCTGGTCGTGATGCCCCGAGACAGGTCGCACAGCGCGCTGCATACCAAATCCGAACCGCGTGCTGGCGGATGGGAGGGAGCTCCCGGGCGAAGCGAAGGATCGACGGGCGACAGGCTGACGGCTCGCCTTGTCACCATCACTCGCCTGACGCCCGCTTCATGTCGTTTGCTGCCTCGCCTGTCCGCTCGCCCTCCCGCCAGGGGGTTCTGGGCGGGCGGGCACTTGTGCAGGCTAGGGGAACACCGGCTGGGTGCGAAGGATACTGACCTTTTTTTTTCTTTTTTTAAGCATCAAGACACACACGGTGTAAGTGTGTCTCGCCATCATCCCGACGAGCTGCCATCGGGTCATTGCATTCGTCGACACTGTTCGTCGGCGGCTGCTGCAGTCAGTATGCGCAGCCCTGCTCGCTCTTGTGTCCGAGTCAGTTCATCCCCCAGTGGCGGACATGGCCTTATCCTATCTTTATTTGGCTGCCAGAGCTGCATGGAAAGAGTGGAAGAGCGCGCGTCTGCCCAAGCCTCGACCCTGGAACCCCAATGACGGAACTGCAGGGCCGTGGGCGACGTCCGAACTAAGAGTAGCATGCTGCACGGAATAGGACAAGGCGTAAAAAAAAAAGAAGCCTATGGGGCACTGGCTCTCGACTCATGTTTTTTCTTTCTTTTCCACTCTTATCCTGTCTTTACTGCCATGCGCGGTGCCATCCAAGAAGACAGCCCACCGGGCCGGCTCATACGTCCCGGTTACCTGCTTGCTTGCGTGACGGGCGGTGTTCGGATAAAGCCGTGTTCCACGGAACATCTTGTCGGAGACACGACGAAGCAGACATCAGCAGCCAGCCCCGAGGACGGAACCGAGCCCGCGTCTGTCAGCCGCTTTCGGCCGGGGTCGCTGTCTGGCTGCCTCAGCTAGGACCCGACTCCCCATGTTTGTTCTGAGCTATGCACATAGAGATAGATGCCCTCTGTTGATCTGCCTGGCATGTTTGATGCGGATAGCGGATAGGTACACAATTACCGAATCAGCGTGTGATAGTAGGCGCTGAGCAATGCTCATTCGTATAAACAAAGCCGCAACCCGAACTCGTTTGCACATTACGCATAGGGCGAGCATACGTAACCATGAAGAACACGATGACTTCCCATACGAGGTATGGACATCGCTCGCGGCCATGGCCAGGCACACTGCCAGGTACCTGCGAGGAGAGGCGGTGGATAGCGCAGGTGGACATGGCCCTGGAGAACGCCCCCCTGGATCCTCGTCGCACTCTTTCTGGACAAGGGTCAGGACAGCCCGTTCACTCGCTGCTGGGGGGAAGGAGCCCACAAGCAAAAACCGTGGAAGAAATCGACGGAAGAGCGAAACGAAGGAAGTGGGCCAGCCACGCGCCCCACACCCAGGCCAGCCTTCCATGCCAAATCACCGCAGATCCTCGCTCACACTGTGCTGACGGCACGCTCTTTCCCTGTCCGCGTCGTAGTCGGGTGCCATTTCCATCTCTGGGCAGTGAATAAAGCCGCTCAGTGATGTGCTTGCGGTATTTGTATGTACGCCACCATAAACCACCTCCATGCCATTTTTTTTTTGATTGCCTCGCGCTAGAACATCGCAGAGAGAGCGCGCGCGCGCACATACACACACTCACACACTCGCACACACACACTCACACAACACACACAACGCACACACCCCTGCCTTGCCTGGCTGCCTGCGCCCCCCCATGCCAGACCCCACCCCCTACCATTCTTGTGCTGCTCCGCCCGCTCGGGATCAATTCACCACAGTTCTTTTTTTTTCCCCTTCTCTTTTTTTGAGTTTACCATTTGTGGTCGGCCACGCCCTTTCCGCGATTTCTAGGACAAGAGCTTTTTTTTTTCCCTCCCCTGCCGCCACTGTCGCCGCCACGCAAAAAGACCTGCCTGCAAACAAGGATCTGCCTTCTCTCCACTGCGACAGCATTCCCCAGTTCGTCACCCAGGCTCCACCAACCCAAGGCCAAGAACCAGCCTTTGCTGCCTCTCTGTGTCCAGAGGGGCGTCACGTCCCTCCCTCCTCCTTCTCAGCGCCCCGGCCTGTTTCCTCGGTCTCGTCCCCAATTTGCTGTCGTTTAACGTACGGTGTGGTGGGCCCTGGAGCAGTCCTGCTTACCCTGCCGCTCGCCTTTTTCTCCGTTACGTCTAGTCTTGTTTGCTAGCGCTCTCTCTTCTCTTCCTTTTTCTTTCTTTTTTCCTATCCCTGTCATCTCCCACTGAGGCGTTTGTATTTTCAGTCGTCTTCATTTTGTTTCCTGTCTGCCACCCCCCTGTATGGGCTGCCAGCCTCCCAGGACGGACTAGCCCCAGAAACAAGAGCGAGGTACCTGCGATACTCGGTCCGGGCTTGAGATGTCCCTTGGCTGATCACCTCGACGCACATTATCACATCGACAGCACCACCCACCGCTCTTACCACGCATATCCCAAGGCGCGGTGACGGAGAAGACCCCATTCTCACCCTTCCTGTCTATATCGGCCTGATTCTTTGCATCGGGTGCTGTCTTTCTCTGTTAGGGTTTATTTTGATCTCTGCTCTGGCATATGCACCGTGACCATTGCCCACGTCCATATCAGATACTAGGCGCTGGTTGGCCTCCCCTCGGCGCGCGCGTTCCAGACTTTGGTCTGTTCGCCCCCGGGAACACACGAGTCAGAGCGAGGGACCTGGGACTGGCGTGAGCCTTTTTGCTCGCTCAGCTCGCGGCAAGCAATTTCCCTCTAGACGGGCTTTGTCATCCTGGGAATTGAGTTGATATTGCATCCATCACATCCCTTGGCTGGCCTCCCCTCCTCCGAGCGACCTGAGCTGAGGGGATTGCATGCCCAGCGATCAGGCCCGGGAGTAGAGGGCAATCTCCCTGAGACTTGTTCGAGAACTCTATTGCCAGGGGGGGTAGGTGTCTGGTGGTATCTGGTGGTGTCTGGTGCGAGCAGGGCACGGTGGGCACAACCTCAAGGGGGGTGGGAAGTTCAGCACCCCCGTACCCATACCCATACCCATACCCATACCTGCCGCCCCAGATCTGGCCTGGGACCTATCGCTTATTAGCTACGGCCCAAGCCCGGCCAGCAGCAAGCTGGTCCTGGTCTTTCCTCCACTGATCGCCGTCAGGTGTCCGGCGAGCCATCAGCCTTTTCAGTCAATCAGCCCCGCCTGCTTCCAGGGACTTGGGCCAATCTGAAGCTTGCGTTTTTTGTCCATTTTTTTTTTCTTCTGATATTTTCTCGTTTTTTTTTCCTTCTCTCTTTTGATCTGCCCTCGCTATTTTTCGTCCTCTGGTTGGGGGAGGTCCCAACCCAGCTCTGTCACCTGCGAGCCACCTTTCGAACCAAACACACCCCATCTTGTGGACCAGTATAAAGTCATCTTTTCGCTCTCCCACGCATTGGGTGGGCTCGTGGTCACCTGTCACCCGCTTCCCTCCGAAGGCCGGTCAGACGGGGAACAGAAAAAAAAAAGGAAAGAAAAAAAAAAGAAGTCAATAAAAAAGAAAACCGAAGCAGCACCCCTTTCTTCCCGACAAAGATTTAGGGTTTATATTCAAGAACAAGATCGAGCGGCCCCAAAAGACCACTAGGCCAGGGCTTGACGCGGTTCCTTTCACCTAAGCGCACCCTTGAATCTTGAATCGGAGCTCGGCGCTAGCTCCTCCCCCAGCCCAAGCACAAGCGATCAAGGCACAAAGGCGCCAGAAGGAAAAGCCGACACCCCCCCAGAGGCCCTCCATCCAGGCCTAGCCATCAGATTGCGCTCGCGCTATTTTAGCGTGTGCTGGCCATTGCCCTCCCCACCGCCAATTTCGACCCGGGACTCGGTCACTCAGGTCCCCCATCCGCGGTGACCTCAGCGCATCAGAATCGTGCTGGCTGATCCCTGCACTGACGCTCGATCCGGGCCCTCTTTCGGGCTGAGGGAGTGGCTTGTGCGCTCCTGGTGCAGTCGATCACCCTCTCCAGCTAGTGGGCGGCGAACCCGGGCACGCACTACCATCTACCGCCGTCAAATACACATCATAGCCGCTGCTGCAAGTGGTTGGCCCTCCTTTGCTCCGCACGCAACGAACACTTTTATGCACCGCTCCTCTGACTACTGGCCAACCATTCGCCTCCTGCCAACCACTACAACATCCATACCACACAAAACTCTTGGACTGCCCCCTCTCGTTCGGACCCCAGCCCCAAACCAAGGCCACCCCAAAGAAAAAAAAAGGAAGCGAGCCGAGTGACGGACCATCGACCTGTCGAACTTGGACCGAACTGGAACGAGATCTAAACAAGCACCGGTCTCCTTGCCCGTCCTGAGCCGAGGTCGTAGTATGTTTGTGGCACCCGCGCAGCAGCACCGTCACGCGTTCGTTGAACACGACCATCATCATCGCCTGCCGTCTCCGCTCCACCGTCCGACCTCTCCGCAGTACAGAAGCCACGGCTCCGCGGGGACCCCTAGCAGCAGTAGCCTCGCGTCGCCCGTCGGTCCCTCTATGGAACGCAGTGGGTCGGAGTACTCGCAGTCAGGTTTGCCTGCGCCCTATCTAAGCAACTGCGGCGACATCAAGTCTGAGGCCCCGTCATCCACCCCCATAGATCACGCGTCTGCTGCGCAATACGCCACGCAGCACCAGCAGCACCAGCAGCACCAGCAGCAGCACCAGCAGGAGGTGCGCTCCAACACCAGCAGCACCTACTCTGCCTCGGCCACTCCCACATCTGAGTACAGCGTGTATCCGGCCTCGGCTCGCTCGAGCTCGTTCCCCGATCACATCCATCGCTCGTATCATCCCTCGAGCAGCCACAGCGGCAGTAGCGGAGGTATGGCGCAAGCTCCAGCCAGCCCTCCCACGCACCTGCCGCAGCAGCAGCCGCAGCAGGATGGACGGGACATGGGTCACACGGCCCCCCAGCAACAGCTGGATATCAAGTCTGACCCTGGGCTCTCCCCCATAGATCCCTCCATTGCCGCCCCGAGCCCGACGTATACTCACGGGCAACAATACTCGCCTTACGGGCCGCCGTCGCAGGACATGTCTCACGGCTACGCGCACCCGAGCAGCGGGCTCTACGCACAACCCCGCCCCGACTGGACCGGCTACGGACAGCAGCACGGCGCACCGCTGACCCCGGGTCACCACGTCTTTCCGCAAACCCCGACATCCGCGCCCCCACAGGCCAGGCCGAACCAGGTGGGTCGCAACCTCTCCCCGACATGCCGCCACCACACGCAGCTCCCCGAGGCTCGCTCCGGGGCCTGGGGATGAGGGGGCGGAGGCGAAGGCGGCGCCCCGCGATACCTGCAACATGGATGTTGCGCCGTTTCTTGGCGGCTTGCGCGCTCTTGCTACGGGGGCCAGTGATTTGCTAACATGGTTCGAGTTCTTTGCGCAGGTCTACTCATTTGTGCCGATTCCTGGTGCGCAACAACACAAGCGGCCGAGGCGGCGATATGAGGAAATAGAGCGCATGTACAAGTGCGGGTGGAATGGATGCGAGAAGGCATATGGCACGCTCAACCATCTGAATGCGCATGTGACGATGCAGTCTCATGGCCAGAAGCGCACTCCCGAAGGTGAGAACGCTCGATCCCTTTCTTTCACCCCCCCTTTTCCATCCTTTCTGTTTGAAGCCCCGCCCGCCGAGGCCGTTCCACGCTTGTTACCGAAGCCATTGCGTGACGCGCGCGCCGTCTGCGTTTGGGGTGAACCAGCGGTCGCATCGACCTAGCGAGCTACCGATGTCACTCAGGGTCGCCGGCTCTAGCCAGATGTCTGAACACGCAAAGCGCGCACCAAAGCTAGACCAACCAACTAACCATGTGATGGTACAGAGTTCAAGGAGATCCGCAAGGAATGGAAGGCCCGTAAAAAGGAGGAGGAAGCCAACCGGAAGGCCGAGGAGGAGCGGCAAAGGCAGGCAGCCGCAGCGTCCCAAAACGGCTCCAACGAGGCGCAGGCCGGACCCGAAGCGACGCAATCTTCAAACGGCTATGCCGCAGCCCGCGGGGCCGTCCAGCTTCCCCCAATCGGCTACCAACCCAGCCAGTACCCAGCACCAGGGTCTGCGGGCGTTCAACAGTCGATCCCCGAGTACGGCGCGGGCTACATGCACGCCAACTACCAGCCGACATCTCCCTACGGCCAACCAAACCAACAGATGTACAGCCAGCGTTAGCGGAACTCGTGCGGACCGACTGTTGGCCTGCGGGCCCGATTTTGCCTCGTCCTTGCTCGCGGCACACGACCCATTTGGGAGCACACAGGGACGTGCAGATAGCCACGGCCGTCGCCAGAGGCGCAGGAGGACAACAGAAGAGCGGCTTCTGGCGTTATCGGGCCAAAGCCGCGACGGTGACCACGGAGCACCTAGGGCTTATATCCACCACCCAGTCAACAGAATACGCGCTCTAGGCGGCGAGTCCCGACTCCCGCACTACGACAGAGCTTCGAGCCAGCTCGCCGCCTCCCGACTTTGGAATGGACGTGGCCAGCTCGAGCTGGTTGTGGCTCATAGCGCGGAGGCAATTTCGGCAAGCAGGCGAATGCCACCAACGCAGGGGCACGTCAAATATGACATGGCCATGTCTGCCGGGCTCTCTCGACCGAAAAAAATGGTTCGGGAGCTTTCTTGATGATAATGCGTTATATTTTTCTTGCCTTGTCAATTTTTCTTTCTCACGATAATCGTCGCATCAAGCGTGGGGCATACTAGGTTTGGGGCGGCTTTGCATTTATGGCCGGTTTCTCAAATGGTGGGAAAGAAGGGGTTACAGTTCAGCGTGGATGCTTCGAGGCATGACCCACCCGACTACACGTCCATCTTTGTTGATTCTTACACTGCTTTTTTTTTTGCCCACTATTCTTCTACCCCATCCCAACATGCCCATTTTTTTTCCACCAACGACTTTGCCGGTAGGCAGGGTCCGTTGGCCCTTGTTTGCGAAAGGGCTGCTTGGAATAGAGCTGGTGGTAGCGACGGGTTGGCGGGCAAGCTGGAGATCTATTTCGGCTCCTTTTTTTCGTTTTCCTTGTCTCTTTTGCTGCGTCGGCTATACCCAAGTGTTCTCTCGTCCCATGGATGCGTGGCATGGGGGGAGGAGAAAGGAGTCGCAGACGATCGGGCCGACCTCGTTCTGTGAGGGCACGCCAAACCATACTACTGGATTGCGGTGGTGCCATGGCTTCCTCGGATTTGTTGTTCAAGACCAGAATCGAACTGCCAGGTTCTCGGAGTCATGCCTTGTTCCGTGTTTGTCAACACATGTTCTCTCTGTCTGCCTGTTGTTGTTTTGCTTTGGGTTGGTGTTTTCTGGTGTTTCCCGCGCCACGAACTGTCGCCGTTCCGTGTTCATGTTTACCGGTTAGGTCATTTTTCTTTCTCTTTCTTGATTCCCGTCACCGTCGCGAGTATACAAGGACACGCAGGGGCGTTTGAAGGAGTCACTTTGGCTTTGATTTCTTTTCTTGTTTTCCTGAGACAGAGAGAGCTGCGAGACGGAAACGGAAACCTGGCCGGAAAGAAAAGGTAAAAGTGAGATGTTGCAGCAGGTTGTACGACAAAGCACTTTGAAGCTTCCCTGCTTGTTTTCGCCTTCACCGCGATTTGCGACATAGATACAGTCCTAATTACCGTTTAGGGTGTCGACTGGTGGGAGTTTTCTGGTCAATTTATCGTGCATCTCGACTTTGTCTGCTTCGCTCCCATATCAGTTATCAAGAATCGCCGTTGATCGATGGCCTTCCGGATCTGCAGGCATAATCTGCATGGGATGGTAGCGACGTGTGGGTGGGTGTGGGATGGAACGATAGGGAACTCGCAAGACGTCCGCATGGGGTTTAAACAAGGTAGGCCGGCGGGAGACATGCCGCTGGCCTTCTGGAGCCCGGCCATTCTTTTTTTTTTTTTTTTTTTTTTTTTTTTTTTTTTTTTTTTTCGTCGTCGTTGTT